AGTTCAACAAGATTAACAATAAAGTAAGAGGAGAAGATCACTTTCACGTTTTGCACGAGGAAGAATTTACGTTTGCAACTCTCGTGGGATTTTCGTGACACTTCTCGATGGGTAAAGGTGTGTGGGTGTATGGTTGGGGTAAGAGGGGAGATAAAAGATCACCTTAAGAATATATTGTGACGTAGAAAAGCATTTTTTTCTTTTATTTTATTTTATTTTATTTTATTTTATTTGTTCTAATAACGCGACGAGAAACGTGATTCTGCAAAACCTGTTAGTTCGCATGGTTAATTCAATGTCGATAGAATGTGACTCGACTGAAAATGTCATTTTCTATCTCATTTTTTTTCCTTCTTCAATTGAATGTCAAGTGATGATGATGATGATGATGATGACACTCGACATGATTTTATTCCTAAGATGAGCCCGCATATCTCTACGCAACATTGCAACCAACCAATCAATCAACCAACCAACCAACAGAACAGGGGCAGTTGGTGGTCCAAAAGAAACAACACCAACTTAGAAAATTAACACTCTTCACATTTTTTTTTCCCCAATTCTTTATCTCGTAAAGATCTTCAACAACGTGACCTTGGTTAACTGGACCTATGTTAAATCTCAATCTTAAATTCAATCTCAATCTCTAGGCCTTAGAGTTGGCCCTTTTTCAATGTCATTCACGAGAACAGTCAAAAGAAAAAGAAGAGAAGCAAAACACAATGAAATATTCGTCGTTAACGACCTACCCCCTACCTTACCCTTACCCCTACCCCTATCATTCAGTCACCTTTTCGTCCTTTTTACTACTCGTCATCCTTGTTTTCTTTTATTATGGTTTCTTTTTTTCTTCTTCTTGATTTTCATCTTCATCTTCGTCTATGTTCGTTGTTGATGCATGCTGCTGCTAAGTTCTTCACGAGTACCGTCTGAGTACAGGAGGAATGACCGTCTGGAGATGTTATCGTCCTCGGTTTCTAACTGCGAGTTACGCCCCGGGCTCGTCGCAAACCTTCTTCTCCTTCCCTTACCTACCCCTTTCCCTACCCATCCCTTTTCTTTTCTTTTCTCTTCTTTTCTTTCTCGGCGACAGCTTCGACACGTAGGACGAAGCTTCTTCTTCTTCTTCTTCTTCTTCTTCTTATTTTTTGTTCTTGTTGTTTTGGTTGTTGATCCTTTTTTATTCTTGTTCTTAACCGTGAACCGTTCGATGACTCGATTATCCTCGTGGGCGTGTAACGAGCCACTTTTACGGCGAATAAAATGCCATCTCGTCGAGTTTCTTTGCTATTGAATGGACTCCTCGAGTAGCTAGCTAGCTAACTTCATCGTCAGGGTGGTCGAGAGACTACTCTCTCATTGCTAACTCTTATGTTTAAATGCTGTGACAAA